GAGTTGTCGAAGCATGTTTCGGCATTTGGCTTTGCGCAGAAGGACAAAGTAACCTCTCTCCCCATGTCTCGAACGCGCCATACGATCAACAGTGGCGCGGCAAGTCCGATTCTGCAAAAACCAGTGCGTCTTTTTCCGTCGGAACAACCACTTATCAACGACCAAGTGCTGTAAATGAGGCAAAAAGGAGTGATACAAGAGCCAGCTAGTCCGTGGGCAGCACTGGTAATCGTTGCTAAGAAGAAAGATGGATCTTGGAGATTTTGTGTCGACTATTGCTGACTGAATGCCGTGAATAAAAAGGATGTATACCCACTGCCACGTATAGAGGACGCAATAGACTGCTTACATTCTGCCTCTTTTTTCCTCCGTAGACTTATGATCCGGCTCTTGGCAAACTTCGAGGCACCCAGAGGACAAAGAAAAGACTGCCTTTTAACACCTGATGGGCTCTTTGAATTCAACGTGCTGCCATTTGGACTATTGAATGCGCTGTCAACGTTCAAGAGGTTTATAAACACCATTCTACGTGGATTGAAGAGGAATATCTGCTTATGATACCTCGACGAGGTCGTCATCTCTGGCCGCACGTTCAGTAAACACAACTCACGTCTGGATATTGTTTTGAAGTTCATTCGAAACGCTGGCCTAGTTTCAAACTAAAAAAGTGCCACTTTAGACCCCGCCAGAATTTTGTGCTTCCTGACCCCCAAAAGAAAGCAGCAGTTGAGGCGTTCAATGGCCTACGTTCCGTCAGATCTTCATAGTTTCCTGGGGATTTGTTTGTATTTCCGCCGCCTTATTCTGAAGTTTGCCGAAGTTTTGCATTGATCAGATGCCTTTTACGAAATGATGATGTCTTTGAGCTGACTCCAGAGCGTCATTCCTCGTTTCGTTAAATGAAATTTCTCCTGACGTAACGTTTATTCCTTCAGCACTTCAGTCCTTCTGCTCCGACAGAGGTTCATGCGAATGCTAGTGGCATAGGTATCGAAGCCGTCCTAGTCCAACGGTATACGGTGACCGCGAACAAGTTATCGCATACTCAAGTTGCTCCCAAAGCAGGCCGGAGCAAAATACACTGTCGCGGAGCAAGAATGCCTAGCGGTAATATTTACAATTCAGTAGTTTCAGTCTTACCGAGATGGACGCCCATTCACAGTCATCGCCGGTCATCACTCTTTGTGTTGGCTTGTCTACTTTTGTGACCCTTGCAGCCACCTTGCGTGCTGGGCACTCCGGCTGCAAGAATACAGCTTTAAAGTCGCTTACAAGAGTGGTCGCCGACATGCCGATGCGGACTGTCTTTTACGTATGCCACTTAGCACAACGGACTGTGAAGCCGATGACCTTGACCACATTAGAGCGTCTGTGTCACATACATTCCCAGACTACCCCAGTTTCAAAGCAGAACAGCGGAAGGGCGCTCAACTACCACCACTCTTCACCGCTAGATCCGCTTCCACTTCGGCACGCCGTTTCTGTTTGCGTGATGGACTGCCGTTCAATGGGAACTTCTCAAGCAGTGGCATGCGTTTCTACTGATGGTCCTGGAGACCCTGCGAACAGTTATTATGAGTGCCATTCCGATGACCCTACATCTTGACATTTAGGTTTGGCGTGAATGCTTCACCGGACTAAAAAGGCTTTTTATGGCCCGGTATGCAAAAGGTCATTGAGACTTACGTGTCCAGCTGCAGACAGTGTCAGCGTCACAAGCGACCATCTGCTCCAGCTGGGATTCTGGAGCTGATGCCAACTCCTAGCGCAATTTTCGATTGATATGTGGAGCTTGACACCCCAAAACCACCATATGATTGTGAAAGACGCCCTAGTGGAAGGCGCCGGAAATTTCGACCACCTCGGGTTCTTTAACGTTCACCCAAATCTGAGCACACAGGCCTACAACCTTTCTGCCTTCATTGAAAATGCAGCCGCCACAGCCTGGATTCGATCCTGCGACCTGCGGGTCAGCAGCCGAGTACCTTAGCCACTATACCACCGCGGCGGGGCGCAGTGCATCTTTTGAACAATTGGGGATTGACTTCCTAGATCCCTTTACAAAATCAGCTAAGGGCAACTGATGCATAATTGTTTGCGTCAACTACCACACACGCTACTGTTAGACAGCACCCGTGCCCTCCGCAACTGCCGGTGACGTCTCGTCGTTCTTGCTACAGTACGTCATCCTCCGACACGACCCACCTCGCCTGAATATCAGCGATCGTGAACGACAATTCACAGTGGATGTCGTGGAGGAGCTACTTCGTTTGTGTCAATCTCGCCTGCATCACTCAGCACCCAAAACACCCCCAAACCACCCCAAACAAATGGCTTGAAGGAGCGTACCAACCGCACAATTATAAACATGGTATCTATGTACATCTCATTCGACCACAATAACTGGGATGACGTACTCTTGTTCATTACGTACGCGTTCAACACCGCGAAGCACAAGACGACAAGTTGTAGCCCTTTCTTTTTGCTATATGCACGTTCGCTTCGGCACACAATAAACACATTATTCTTACCGTTCTATGATTACAACGTCACTGTCGCCAAGACCCTCCGCCTTGCCGAAGGTGTGCGTCGCATAGCTCGCCTACGCACATTGGCATCGCAAGACAAAGTAAAAGCACGCGACGACATTCACCACTGGCCTGTGACTTATCGCCTTGGTGATTCGGTGTGGTTGAGGACTCCCATGCGCAAGCTCGGATTATGCTAAAAGTTTTGGCCACTTACGATGGGTTTTTTGTCTTTGTCGACAAACTTAGAAAGCTCACCTATGTAATAGCTCGCCTCACGGCGAGTGGTCGACAAGCTACCAAGGCTCAAGTGGCTCATGTTTCCCACCTGAAACTATACACCCCAAGACAACTCGACTGACTCGTCCAGAGGCCTTTGTCTGCGTGGAGAGGAATGTTGCACACATGGATGAAGACAACGAAAACCACGGTAAACGCGACTGCCGCTCCTAGTTAGGAAAAATCAGAATGACCTTTAACCAGTCGGCTGCTTCGAGCTCACCCTCATGACCTGATAAACGGCCCCTTTTCACCCTTGAGGGTCTCTTCCGAGCGTAATATTATATGCACCGACGTGTCGGTTCTGCCGAACAGCTTGACCGGAGCAGTAGTAATACCAAGGTTGGCAACAACAATTAAATACGATACAGCCCACGTAACATAAACGGCAGCAGAATCGGCAGCACTTCGTACCGCGTTATATTTCGTAACAGATCAGCCTACACGCATGTGGACTATTTTCTGCGATTCGAAGTTGGTACTGCAGCCTTACGGCGTGGACCACACAAGCAACTGGTGCTATAGAGATAGCAGGGGTTATGCATCACCAAATTGAGAAAGTGTACTATATTACATTTCAGTGGTTACCCAGTCACTGCGGAATCATCGGCAATGAACGGGCCGATCAAGCAGCTCTTTCAGCTCACGTAGAAGACCATGAACTGCTACAACCACTGTCTACAACTAATGTTGCTCTAGTGTTGACGAGCTTGCTCGTCAACCTACTACGTCACAATGGAATCACTCCCACTTCAAGCACGCCCGATTGTACTCGCTTGATACTACATCAAGTCTTGAAGTCCCGTCGAGGCTTCGCCGCAGAAACACGACCATTTTAAGTAGGCTGTAGTTGGGCGTTGCCTTCACCACCACCTACACTTTCCGCATTGGGATTGTTTCTTCGTTGCCACAGGCTGTGACCACTGTGGTAACGAACACACTATCCAACATATCTTTTGTTACATCCTACATTATAGTGGACAGCTACTGTGCTTTCCCAAAGAGCTCAGCAAATTAGATAAGCAACCTCTGCTGGAGGAAAGAAAAATTACATTATTGCCTGAATGCACCGTCAGAGAAGAAAGCCTTGCATGCACTACGGTGCTTTTTTTGCGAACAACCGGCCTTTCTGAACGGTTGCAGCTAGAATGCCCTTCCTGTGTGTTTTTTTTCCTCCAGAGTGCACGTGCGTTTTTTTCTCCTTTTTTATCTATTTCTCACACTCTCTTTCTTGCCTCTTGTTACCAACCCCCAGTGCTGGGTATCAAACCGGATGACGACACCTGGTTAACCTCGCGGCCGTTCTCTTCTTTCTCTCTTTTTTTCATTTACGACTATCTGAACCCATCGGTAAAGCCGCTGTGCTTATATTTATAAACCGCTGTGCTTATATGCATATATTTTAGTTTTGTTGAACAAATAAAGAGTATAAGTTAATGGTATGCTGAATCATACGTTTAATGAGAGTGTCGTTATTTCAGAAGTAAAATGATCCAATTGAGTAATAGGAACATAAACAAGATGCGTCAGGTACCCCTCCTTTTGGCAGAATATTTAAGCGCAGATGTTATTACTGACTTCGTTCGACAGCTTCCCCCAATAAATTTTGTTGATGACCGTGTAATTTGTCTTTAGGCACGCCGTACCCTCGCAACGACGCCTCTAGCCTCACAGTTAGATGTCTTCAACTGCGTATATTTTAGGATATCTCAGAATAACTAGATCGAGACTTAATTGGTTCTTGCTGCACAGCATAAATACTGCTGGAACGGCACGAAAGTTTGGGACACTTTCTATATTCCAAAGTACGTTCTGTGAATATTTGCGCCCATTGAGTTGGTCAGAATGAAACACGATGCGCGCGTCTCCCTTCTTGCAAGATTGGACACGCTGGGCAAAGCGACGCTATGCAAGAAAAGCACCAGCGCAGTAGCGTCTGTTTCAGGGTATTGACAGACAGACGTGAACATGAAAAGCTAGGCGTATGCCTTAAAACGAAGAAAAGAAATACGAATATGACTACATGAGTGGCAGTGAGTGTGTGGGCAGCATCCGAGTTTTGTGCGGAATGTGCCCCGATTGCGATAGCAGTTATGAGTGCGTGAGGGTGCACTCCCTTTTTGTGAAAAACATGCTTCAAAAGTATTTGCAAAGCACTACTAAGATGATTGCTCATTTTCTTAACTCTCCTACCTTTTCATCAGTATGATGAATCCGAAACACACAAGGTATATCTGGAAGTTGCACGAAAGGTACCACATGTGGGCGGCACACTGAAAAAAACGTAAAGCGAAAGCCAAGGCACGTGAAATTTTACTCACTTTTGGTGGCAGTTTATAAATGTAACATCATTTACGCACCCATATCTTGGAGAATTCATAACATGCATACTTTCACTAGGAATCATATGATTACGAAAAACTCCCGCATACCCACGAAGGGAATGATGGTGAAGGAGCTTGCTCCAGAGGTTAAATCGGGTAAACCATGACTCCTTTGTGCTAATGCTCATCATGATCATACGAAGACGCGACACGAGAGTTGTTTTGGTGTGATTGTATAGACACATTGATTATTACTTACATACCAATGAACTATATACAGATGTTTATATACTGATGCAGTATATAAATTTTGTTCAATAGCTTATTTTCAAACCACTTAAGCTCAAAGGAACGTTCTGCTTTCATTAAAATGGCTTTGTGATTAGAAAAATACAAAGCCAGAGGATCTTAAACTATAGGATGTAGTGCGGTGTTCGAGTGGGGTCCTGACGCTGAGCCCGCGCTGCAGCCGCATTGCATACCCTCCACGCCACCATCTTGGCTTCCGCGGTAATCACAGTGGATGCGCACAGAGTGATGTCGGGCGAAAGAGAAAGGAAGCATGCCGAGAGCGAGCGCTTTATATAAGCGCGGCGACTTAGCAGCCTCCTATACCAACCTACAGCACGCGCCGAGAGGGCAGCGAGCATCGCCTGAGTGGCGGTGCGCCATCTATTGAGCGTTCTTGAAACGAAGAGCACAGCTCATCTCTCGGGGAGCAGTGTAGACACCCGCGAAACGACCAGAAACAACCGCCCCCCCCCCCCCCCCTGCAAAAGGAGCCAGCTCTTAAATGGCTCTGGTACGTTTTTCGATTAATATCTCGTGTGCCACAGAATATTCAGGGCCTATGCAAGGAGACCGTGGTGGTGCTGGCCAGCTCTGAAAGGGTTTGTTTTCCATGTTATCGTAAAGCGTTGACTTCAGCGAGAATGACAACTCCAGGGACCGAAGCCATTTGCAAGCTTTATCTACTATCGGCATCAAAGGAAACGCGAACAGCGGAGCGCATGACACAAGCCTTATCAACGGCATAGTGCACGCCGTCCACCAGTCATGGACACAGTAAGGCCCGCACATCCGGTGTGGCAGCACTGCATGTTCCCTTTATAGTGCAACATTTCTGCTGGTGTTTCAGGTATGGTATTTAAAATGAAAAAATACAGAGGTTAAACTACTGCAGCCTAAGGCGAGTATTGTAGCACGGTTGGTCATCACAGAGTTCATCATCACAGAATGCCTGGCAAATTTTATTTAGAGTAGACAAAGGTCGGTTCATAATGCTGGTAATTTTACGCTGTTTCACTTCGTGCCGGTAAAACCAAACAATTTGCCCTCTCTCTTCACGAAAAAACGCTCGGCATTTCCAGTTAAAGTGAAGCCTTTTCGTGTCGGTCTCTGAAAGAAGGGCGCAGGTGAAGCAGAGCTGGCGAACGAGATACGACGATCATTTGAAAATCAACCACAACCAGATTGTATTTCTCTTTTTATTTTATCGTGCCAAGTCACCAATTGCACTGCGACACTGAAGTAAAAGCAAGGAATTGCGAGTGATACGATCAAAGGCGCTTGGCACGCCCACGATGGCCACCATTACCGCCATGCAAAAACTAGACCAGAAACAGAGATAACGCACTGTAAATGGGGAGGGGATCGCGCAGTGCTACCAAATCGGTATGCACGCATGTCAATGGTGATGACTGGACGGCTAACACTATACTGTTTCTAATGCTTGAAACACGCGCTCTGCTGTTCGGGTTTCATTTGGCGCCGATAGTACATGAAGCAAGCTTTTAGAGCACAGCGAATTTACGAGCCGTCTTCTGCCTGTCGCGTCGGCCAGCGACCGCGCTTTTCGGTCGACGCAGCCCTCGCTCCCCTGGCGTTTCTTTATGCTCCTTGCGAAAGAGGAACAGGGCGTTTTCTCTCTGCTTGATAACTATAAAATATCATCATCAAACGCCGGAAGAAGAAGAAAGAAGACTGCTGCCTGCAGCGAGCGCGCGCTACTTCACTTCTTCCAATAAACCGTATTCGTTCGAAGCAGTCCCTGGTCTCGATCGTCTTAATAATGGTGCCGTGAACCAGGATACTACCTCCTCGCCGGCAAGAAAGGTCAACCTGCCACGGAGCAGCAGAGAAGAAAACGGCGGAGGAGCAGAGGATCGACCTGGATCGAGCGACGAGACCACGGTGGACAGTACGAACATCAGAACGAACGATTGACAAGTAAGGAGTCATTGTTAACCGCCTCAATATGAGCAAAGAAGTGATAACGAAGAAAAGGAAAGCGCTTCGCTCCCAGATCACGCGACTGATTAACGCAGCCGAGCAGCAAATTAATGATGGAGCTAACCGGGAGCAGCTGCTTACAACGCAAGCGCAGATTAAAGCAATAAGCGACAGTCTCAAGAGCGCGAACGAGCAAATGGAAAAGTTTCTAACAGAAGACAACGCCGAAGCTGAATTGGAAAGCGTCATAGACTACGACATGAAATTAACGACGATCTTATCTGCAATAGAAGTGAGACTTCGACCGCCTGAACAATCGGATTCAACCAATAGGACAAGGCAGGTGACGCACTCAAGTACGGGACAAGAAGCAACGGAACTAGTTAAGCTACCAAAGCTCGAAATGATAAAGTTTGGGGGAAAAACTTTGGGGTGGAACCGTTTTTGGTCTCAGTACGAGTCGGCAGTTCACCTGAGACCGAACATGAGCAAGGGACAGAAGTTCAATTACTTGTTAGCATCACTAACCGGAAAAGCTGCGGCTGCTATTGAAGGACTTCAGTACTCGGCAGAGGAAAATTATGATAACGCAATCAAAATACTGCAAAAAACGTTCGGCAATCGAGAACATTCCATTGAAATGCATATGAATGAGCTATTGAGTTTGGAGAAAGTGAGGTCTGTTCAAGATACCGATGACTTAAATAGGCTAGTACAGAGAGTGCAAGTTAACATATTGGCACTCAAGTCACTAAAAGTAGAAACTGGGAGCTATGCGCCGATGTTATTACCGGTATTGAAAAGAGCAATTCCACCAGAATTATCAGTGCAGTTCAAGTCAAAAGAGGCTATGAGAAACAGCTCAGCTTCAGAAAACGGCGAGCAAAACAACGCAACGGAAAAGGAGTGCGAGGAAAAGCTGGACAGGCTTATGTTATTCTTAAGAGAGCAAGCGGCTTTTCGTGAAGAAACACAACGTGAACAAGAAAGGATAAATGCAAAACCAAGAGAGAACCGCGGACAGATGCGCACAACTTCAAGCTTCTATAGCTCAGCGGACAGAATATGCTTATTCTGCAAGCAGAAATCCCACGCAACCGAAAACTGTCGTAGGAGCATTCCAATGGATGAAAAGAAAGCTATGCTTACCGAAAATAGAGCATGCTTCAGATGCACGCGACCAAACCACACTGCACGCATTTGCAAGGCCCAAGTAAAATGCAAGCAATGCAAGGGACGACATGCCACGTCAGTATGTAGAACGGTGATGCAGAAAACAAGGGCAGAGCTGGTCTCAACAGCGCAAGCCGAAGCGACGACGTCTACGCTACAAGCAACCGAAAATATCAAGCATAAGTTTGTGCTTTTGCAGACGGCTGTAGCGTGCGTAGAAGGAGAAAGTTGTGGCCGACATTGCCGTTTGTTATTAGACAGCGGAAGTCAACGTTCATTTATTGAAGCGAGATTAGCGAAAGAAATAGGTGCGAAGGTGTTGCGACAGGAAAGGCTGACGATTGGTTCATTTGGAGGAGACGAAAAGGTCAAACTAATGAACGTGGTGCAAGTGACTGTAAGATCACGAGAAACAAGCACGACAACAGTGATTGAAGCGTTACAAGTCGACGTTATCTCGCACAGTTGTATACCCACTCCAACTAAGAAACTCAGTGAGAAAATGAAACAGCTAAATATGCAAGTGGCTGATCACAGGACCGAGACGACTGCAACAGATTCTGTAGAACTACTGATTGGCTCAGACTATTATTGGGAATTCTTTACTGGTAGAACTCAAAGAATTGAGGACAAACTGATGGCTGTAGAAACTATACTGGGATGGGTACTGCAAGGGCCGTCAGAGCAAAGCAAGACAAAACTAACGCATAATCAAGCAGTCATGGTTCTGAAGGTCGAAGCTGCGGAGACAGAACTACAGCAAGAGCTACAGAAGTTCTGGAGCCTGGAGTCAATGGGGATCACAAGAAATAGTTTGGATAACACCGGAAATGAAGTGGTCGAAGAATTCGAGCGCAAGATTGTAGAACAAAACGGTCGCTATCAAGTCAGCTTGCCATGGAAACAGAACGTAAACTTGGAAAGCAACAAGGAAAATGCGATAAAAAGACTACAGCAACTGACTAAAAGGCTGCAAAAAAATGAAGGCATGCTGTATCGCTACGACAAAGCTATATCAGAGTACATGGCATTAGGAGTCGCAGAGGAGGTCCAAGAGCCATCAGAACAGCCAAATGCACTTTGCTACTACATGCCACATCATGCGATCATTAGAGAAGACCGAGCCACAACAAAGGTTCGAGTAGTGTTTGACGCCTCATCACATTCTAGAAAAGGCATGTCTCTAAACGAGAACCTAGAGGCAGGACCCAATTTGAATGAGGACATGCTATCGCTGCTCCTTAATTTCCGAAAAGAAAAGGTGGCGTTAGTTGGAGATGTTGAAAAGGCATTTCTACAAATCTCTATACATGAAGAGGATAGAGATGCAATAAGATTTCTGTGGTGGAAGCATGACGCTGAAGGAAGGTTATCGAATGAAGTGCAAACATGGCGCATGACAAGAGTAACGTTCGGAACAACACCAAGCACATTTATACTGGCAGCTACAATTAAACACCATTTGAAACAATTGGAAGATCAGTTTCCTGATACGACAAGGACACTGCAGAAAGCGATCTACGTGGATGATGTAATTTTGGGAG